AGACACTACAATAGCTTTCTAGTTTGAAGGTTATTGTCTTAATTTCCACTCCATTTTTCCAGATCGTTACTGCTGCGCCTACCTTTGTGTCGATTTTACTTCCATCAGTGAAGATTTTGACCCAGTCGTTACTTACGTAATCAATTTCCTTCTGTTCACTTACTAGGCCAAAACTGCGCTGCGACCTCTCGCATGGATGGGGCAGATCGTAAGGGCTTATTAGTTTTTCTAGTTGTCTTCCAGGTAAGAAATCGACGGGCTTTCCTTTCTTGATCTCGTATATGTTTGCGTTCTCTTTAGCCCTTAGTGCTAATGGTATTATTTGGGACAGAATAGTGCTGGAGATCAGGGAGTTAGTTCTATGCCCTTTGCAGATACGTATACCAAATATTTGGGTCATTCTATTAAGTATTTTTTCGATATACTTTTTTTCGGTTGTCTCCGCCCAACAGCTAGCAGCATATAGTATTGTCGGTTCGACCACAGCTGAATAGATGGTTTTTATGATTTCAGAATTTAATCCCCAATGGGCTTTTGCCGCCCTGGAAACCATTTTGTAGATGTTGATTGCTTTTCGGCAGACGCTATCAAGGTGAGCCTTAAAATTTACATTATTATCAATTGTTAGGCCTAGAACTTTCATTTGATTTGTGTACTGTAATGTAAGTCCTTCAATGTGTAAACAAGGTCGGTGGTATTTCAATTTTTTTGTTATGATTATGCGTATGACGTAGCTGTGGGTTTTTAGTTACAGGTGTTGATACTGTTAGCTTATCACAAGTATCACGAATTGCAGTTTTAAGCAGATGTCTGTCCTGCTGGGAGTCGCAGCTTATTATAACTTTTTGATTTTTTAGTTTAGATATTTTATTAACACGTACTCCCAGGTCTACAGGGTCCACATCTTTTCTAACCTGTTTTAAAATATCATCACATGTTGAGCGGGGATCTATGGACTCAATAATCATTGCATAGTGGGGGGTATTAGTTGCTTCTGCATATGTTTTTTTATTGTTAGCTAATACTTTAGTATGTTCGTTTTGCTTTATGCTTTTAATCTCTTCATCTATGGTATTGTTATTGTGAGTGATATTTTTGAGTTCGTTAATTTTATCCTTAATTTCTGTTATAGCTAATTCAGTTCCTAGTCCAGTATTTCCTTGGAATGCTATTTGGGTGGTATTGAAGTCTTTAAGATCGTTAATTTCATTGAGAACCGTGTTCAAGAGACGTATTATCGGCTTTATTGAGTTCTCTAGATCTTCTTTTATAGATAATGTCTCTTTATTTTCTCTTTCCCGCGTTAAATTTGTGGTATGGTGTCTTTGTATTATTTTTTTTGTGTCCTCGAGCTCCGCAATTATTCGATCTATTCGGGGGTCTGTATGTGTGCTATTTTTCTCACAATAGGATCTTTCAGTCTCCAATTCTATTTCTTTATTTACTAATTTCTGTACCACGAGGCTGAGGTTGGTTATTTTCTGGTTCAGTTCTGATATTTCTTTTATCAGAGATACATAGCTTTCAGTACATTTATCTGACTGGGCAATAGGTGTTTCTTTTGTTGGTAATGGTTGAGTCTTTATTGCAAGGCCATGTATTTCTAACTGGATTTTACTGATTGCCTTAATGGGTTCATCCATCTCGTAGCTAAGCCAAGAACGTATTGACTCAGCAGTTTTGCCCGTATCTTTTATGGCTTCATATGTCTCTGCGAGCTTGTTATAATGTAAGGTTCGAATTTCAGCCAGTTCTTTATTATGGGCTCGTTCGACACGTACCAATTCTTTCGCGGCTCTAGATCTTTCTTGTTCCGCTGCAAGCCGGTGCCGAGAGCGTGAGTCAGATAGCGACAGCACAGTTTCATAAAGGCCCTGGAGGCAGTCATGAACTTCGCTTTTACACTCCTTTTTCATGTTTCCTACCTTCTCTAGGGCTTCTTTACCAGAAAGCAGAAATTCGTTTGCTCTCTGTGTTGCTAGGTCCATAGAGATGCCTGCACGTTTATATGCTGGTGGTAATATACTGGACCTTTTACTGTTGTCGCTGACTATGCTATCGCCATCCGACCATTCGTCCTCCGTCTCTCGGACCGGCTTGCAGAGGCCCAAAGCAACCAGCTCTTTGTCAATATCCATTGTAATCGAGCTGCCACTTTCTGCACTTGGTTTTGTAGGTCCGCTACTACCTCCAATGTTTGGTCCAGTTGGAGCGGTGCCTATGGATTTGGTTTCACTCTCCACTATCGCAAGATCTCTGGTTTCTTGGTCATCTTCAGGTGCTCTTCCAGATGTAGATGCGTTTTGAATTAAAACCTTTTTGCGCAGAGCAACACTGGGTGTAGGACTTCCTCCTCTACTTGTTTTGGTAGGCCTTGTTTTAGCAGAGCTAGATCCCGAAGAACCAGATTTGCAGGACATTTTTTTTTTGTTCCGGCTGGGGTCACTTTATCTGGTTTATATTAGTAGCTTCCGATTCCTCTGATGATTCCAAGAAATTTAAGCCCAAACTCCACTAGAATACGTTGAGCTGTACCAGAGTTATAATTAGTTGAATTTTTCCAACATGGCGGTCTAAAAAGTTATTTTATTTATTCCGTAGCCAGTTTTAACTATAAATGGTCCGAGTTTGGGCTTAATTTATGTAAAATCTTTAGGGCTATATGTTCCCGCTGACTTTAGGTACCTAAAAGTTTTTTGCTAGGTGACCGCGGAATTGGCTTCGCCAAGCGCTCCCGATCAAAATAAGGTCAAGCACGATAAGTTTTGACCATCTAGTTCATGAGAAATACTAATAAAACCAATTCCAAGATGGCGGCTAATAAGACCTAATTTATGTATCTCGATGACGGAGAGAGATAACTTAATCGAGTTTGGGCTCTATGGGTAGGTCTCGGTGAGTATATTACTATAAGATAGATAGAATATAAAAATTTAATTTATTTTAGAAATTATTACCAATAAACATAAAAAAAAATTTGTATCTTTGGATCTATGACAGATAAATTTAGTCTGCGAACGGATTTTGGTTGGGTATTTAGTGGTTTCTTTTTTGGTGTATTCAAAAGCACGCGCATTAATCTGAAAACAAGACCACGTGGAAGTGTTTTTTCAAGAAAAAATTCTTGCAGATAAAACTATTCAGTGGAAAAATCTAATTTTTTGTGAAAATACTAACAGAAATATTACTCATATAAAGCTAAAATAAAAATGGGGTATTGTCGATCATAATAAAGAAAAAAAATGCCTTCAAATATAAGTGAAACTTAAAAAGTTTGGTTTTTTACTAATAAATTTTTGATTCTATTTCCGATTTGCCTCAAAAAGATTTTATGTACTTAGAAGTTTCTCCCAGACATAAATGCAATGTCAGAAATAAGTACAGGTGTTCGGTTAAGAATTTAGTGGCCACGTGGTTTTTCAGTCTTCATGCTGTAGTTCAGTTGTTTTCAAGCGAAAAAATCTGGAAACAACGGAGATATCTGGGGGCTAAAAAGGCCTATAAGATGGTATAAAAATAAATATAGGTTACTGATCTCCTTTTAGCAGCGTTTGCGAAAAAGTAGTAAAAATTTTACCCTTTTCAGCTTTTAGGTTATCTCCGTTGCAAAGATCCTTGAGAAATCACTTGAAATTTTCACCACAGCAAAAAACAAACACAACCACGATATGGCACTACACAAAACACAGCAACACAGCAATTTGCAGATAAATCGAAAAACTTTTTCTATATTTAACGATTTTTAACAACGGGAGCGCTTTAGAGATGATACGTTCGCGGCGGCGAGCGGTACGGAACTTTTGGGTTAGGTTAGGTTAGGTTAGGTTAGGTTAGGTTAGGTTAGGTTAGGTTAGGTTTTTTTTTTTTTTTTTTTTTTGTGTCCAGTCTCGGTTACACCACCGGGACTGGGTATTTATTGGTTCAAATTGACCTACTTTTATAATTGATTTGCCCCCGCTATTGGATACGGGCGACACAAAAGTTACATTTTATTACTACATTTTTACAATATGTTATTATTTATGAAATAGTACATTTATACAAAACTTATAAGTAGGATTATTCGGTACACGAATTAGAGTTTTAGTTACAGAAATTTCAACTTTGCTTTGATTTTCATAGTATCTATATTACATGTTTGTTAAAGTCCTTAAGGGTTCTAATAATAGTTTTAATATGTTTGGTGTATGATATGACTGAAGATTCCTTGCTTATTATTTTATTTATTCTGAAGACGTCTGTTATATTCAGGCTACTGCATATAATTATGTGATCGTTCCGAGTGTTTGAGTACCTAGGACATTCTTCTATTAAGTGCTTGAATGTTTGTTCCGAGTTGTCGTTACATGGGCATTTATTAGTTGATTTTATTTTAAATCTGTACAGGTACGATAGATTAAATCCATGTCCAGTCAAAAATTGTGTAAATTCAAAGGAGGGTTTAACAGCTTCCCATAGATTTCGTATGGACTCAAGATCAGGACATATACTTTTTGTATGTTGTCCTTGTATGGAGTTTTTGTAAAAAGAATTAGCATTGCTTAAAGTTATTTGTTTTAAATTATATTTTAAGTAGCTTAAAGGGGTCTTGTCATATTCATATCTACTGTGGGAACTGGCTGCTTGTTTGGCTGTTACATCTGCTTCTTCGTTCCCGGTCAAGCCTGTGTGTGCTTTAACCCAAGTAAAGTTAATTGTTCCTGTGTTATATATTTGGTGTATACTTTTATGTATAGATACTACGAATGGGTTGGAACTGTCTTTATTTTGTATTTCTTTCAAGCCTGAAAGTGAGTCTGTAAGGATTGTAAGATTATGTGTACCTGTTTGAATAGCCCATTTGCAAGCTCTTTCTATAGCCAAGAGTTCCGCTTGAAATACATTGCAGCTTGGGTGTAGTTTATATTTCTTGCGTATTTTTATTTCATTATTAATTTGTACTACAAATGCTGCGCCTGTACTACCATCATGATGCTTGCTTCCATCTGTGAATATTTTTGTCATATGGTTATTGCAATTATCAATATCTTCTTTTGTAGTTGCCATATTAATTTCGATGGTTTTTCTGTCAGCTGGATGAAGAAGTTGTGATGGGGCAATGGTTTCTCCATGGCAATGTCATCGGGTAGAAACTCTGTTTTTCCAGATAATTTGGATGTTTCTATGTTAGCAACTTCTGATACTTTTAAATGAAGTGGTGTGAGTAAGGCTAAGGATATTGCAGCAGAGGCAGATACTGTTCTGAAAGCTCTTATAATCTTGATGGCGAATCCACGCTGTAGGGATATTAATTTGTCCCTTACTACTTTAAATTTGGTAGCATCTCCCCAAATGCCTGCCGCATAAGTGATTATGGGTTCTATGACCTGCCTGTATATTATTTCAATATTTTCTGGGTGTATTCCCCATGTTGGCCTTACATATATACAAAGTTTTTTATATATGCTAAGAGCTTTGTTTGTTATATACTTTGCATGTTCAATGAATTTCAGGTTTCTGTCAATGATTACACCTAGGAGTGTGATTTGTTTGCTGAACTCTAAGGTTATACCAGACATTACAATGTTTGCCATTTTGGCTTTGGGGGTAAACGTTATTAATTGTGTTTTGTTTGGACCAAATCTAAGCTTAGCTTCTTTGCCCCATTCAGAGATCAACTTAAGGGCTGAGTTTGCGGTCATTTGAAGTATACTTACATTTTTGTGTGCTACGATTAGCAAGACATCGTCTGCAAAGGCTTGCAGATGACATCCTTCGGGTAATGGTATGTTAAAGAGGTCATCGAGAATTAGGTTCCAGAATATGGGGCCGCAGACCGAACCCTGAATGCATCCTCTGGTCATAGTTTTATTTACAGTGACGTCGGCGTAATTTAACGTGACTAAGCGATCCTTTATATAATTAAGTATAATTTTATATATATTTCTTGGACATTTAATTTCTGTTAATCGTTTAAATAAGATAGGCCACCAAGCATTATCAAATGCCGCTTGTATGTCTAATGAAACGGCAATTACTAATTCCTTTTTACTCTTTGCTCTACTAATAATATCAACCGCATTTTTGAGTGCGTGGCTTGTGGATAGCTGTTCTTTAAATCCAAATTGTTTTGGGTTTGTTTTATTGTTGATGTTTATGTGATATGTTAGTCTTTTACTTAACAATTTCTCAAAAAGTTTGCCGAATACATTTATAAGACCAATAGGGCGATAAGAGGAAGGATCGGATAAGTCTGATTTATTAAATTTAGGAAGTATGATGGCATGTGCAATTTTCCATTGCTTTGGAAAGTAAGATATTTCAAAACATCGGTTAAGTAGTTTATTTATGGCTGTTTTATATATTGTGGTGAATGCTAAGCAAATATCCGCAGTTAGGTGGTCGTTTCCTGGAGCTTTATTTGGATTGATTGTTTTGAGACAGTCGATTACTTCTTCTTCTGTAAAGAAACGATCATCTGAGGTGCTTGGTTCACAAGACATACTTTGTCTAAGTTGTTTTTGTATCTCCGTGTCGTCCTCAGTGTCATTAGGATAAAACTTGTTTAGGAGCACATGAGCCGTTTCTTTAGATGATGTGGTGAAGTTTGATGAATTTATTCGCATTGTAGATGGAAGAACAGGTTGTGGAGAATTCTTCAAAAGCCTATTTGTTAACGACCAGACATTTTCCTTCCCTTGCTTGCTGCAAAATTCCTTAAAATGTTCCGTAGATGCTTTCCTAATGGCGTCCAAATATTCTTGTTTTAACTGTTTTCTTTCCAGTAATATATTGTCTAGTGGTTTCTTGCTACGCTTTAGTGTTTGAATTCTGTGATGCAGTTTGATTACGCCAAGTTTAAGTCTTTCTAGGTCAGAATTCCACCATGGTATATATGTTTTAGCTATTCCTTTATGTTTAAACACTTTGCTGCTGACTTTTTGAATAACATTTGTTATGTCCTTTATGTAATTATCTATGTCCTGTTCATTAAATAGTTCTATGTTTTTAGTTGCTAACTGTTCTTTTTCCATTACCGTTTTTATCTGATTAGAGAAAGAGGACCAATCAGCATTTTTGGTGTTGTATCTGTAAGTGGTGGGTTTCTTTTTTCGATGTAACGTATCATTATTAAGTTTTAAAAAGAAGTCTATGGCATTATGCTCCGATGTAGGACATGCATTCATATTTACCTGCCAACCATAAATTTTATTTGATATATTCGCGGATGTCATCGTCAAATCTATGAATGAAGTACGGCTTGCCCCATGGGTCACCGTCTCAAAGGTTGGAAATTTACCGTCATTGAGTAATATCAAATCGTTTGACATAATTATATCGTGAACACTACGGCCTCTTTTATTAGAAATATTTGAGCCCCAAGCAGTATGCCATCCATTAAAATCACCTCCAATTATGATATGCTTGTTGACGTGACTCTTGAGAAAATGTTCCAAGTGATTTAGCGTGTTGTTTATATCATTAGTAGGCTCTACGTAAACACTAGCAAGAAATAAATGATATTTATTATTAAGAAGCTGCACAACACACATGTTAGCTGTTGAGAATTCACGTATACCTAGAATTGAACCAAGGCTCGTCCTCACGATGATGCATGCTTTTACACGTTCATTGTTTGTAAATTGATATATGTTGAATCCCTGAACATTTTTAACGGTATTAAGATTACCTACATAGGGTTCAGATATGAGGCCTATATCGTAGTTGTTGTTAACAAAGTAATTTATAAATTCATAGTGGCTAACATAACTTTTGTCAAGGTTGATTTGAATTATTTTAAGTGTTTCAGAGTTAAGTGGTTGCGATCTTTGCTCGTCAGAGGTATGTGAAAATGTGGATTGTCTATTGTCCATAATCAGTCTGTTCATCAATTTTATTTTTAAGAGTTTTAATTCGAGGACACACTTTGGTGTTAGTCGCTATATGATTTGTGTCGACTTTGCTATTGCTTTTAATATTAAAGTTGTGGCAATTGAAACACTTGCGTTTATTTTCTGTTTCCTTAAAGGGGCAAGAGGTTATGTTATGTTCCTCAGAAGCACAGTGTGCACAGCGGTTCGTTTCTGAGGTACACTTATTTTTCGTGTGGCCGAACAGTAAACACTTATAGCACTGTACAAATCGGGAATACGGCTCTATATGTACTCGCTGGTGGTCAATTGCAATGCGTCCGATATCTATAACACTCTTGAATAATTCCGGTTTTACTTCGAAAACAGCGTTGTATAAGTTTTCGTTTCTATTTGAAGTAGCAAAGCAGAGACGGATGTTGCCTTTGGGTAGAGAGTTTTGATGTTCAATTATATCTGTCAACTCGTTCTTTTCAATATCTTTTGAGATGCCTTTTAGTATCACTAATGGTGGACGTCTTTTACTTTCTTCTGCTTGCAATCCTTCTATTTTATTGATACGAGCTATGGTTTCTTGGCACTGCGACTTAGTGTCAAATTCAATTCTTACTTTTCCGTTGAATCCTGTTTGAACTTTAGCTGGAGCGTAAGTTTCCTTCTTAAAAGATACACTTTTTCTCCACTTGTTTAGCACTTCTTGCGGCTTAGTGTTGGGATCTGTCGATTGTAGTATTATCGATGGCTTATTTATTTTCGCTGCTGCAACGTTCGCGTAAGTGGCTTTGACGGGCAAAAGGGAAGGTGCCAATTCCGATTTTAATTGTTTTATTTCCTCGCAAACACTTGTTATAATTTCGCTTTTAAATTTTTCGTCTAAAGCAGGCGTTTCTACTGACTTTAAAATGGCAAGTGTAGATGTGCATCTACGTATTTCGTCTGCAGCTAATAATATGAATTTTTTGTTGAGGGCAGTGACGCTTTTTCCTTCGTAAATAGCGTTTGAGATACAATTGCTAAGCTTATTTACAGTTTCAATGTATGAGTCTATATCTTTGACGTTGGCAGCACTGACTGGCAGAAGATTATCTGATTCTATAGGAGCCATAGTATTACAATACACCATCAGTTTTCATATATACCAAAAAAAAAAATCATAACTTAAAGAAAATTAATAAATAAATAAAAATCGATATAATTATCTAATAAATCTACTTAAGTAATGAAAACCGGGAGGGTGGGAGGGCGATTTTCTCTAATTCCGCGTGTTTTATTTTACAGATTAGGGTGCAGATGGCAGTTTCTACACAGGACGGACCTAATAAGTGCAAAAAGAGCGAAAAAAACGAAGATTTAAAAAAGTTTAAAAATTTTATAAAATTACGACTATAAGAAACGGATTAATTGAAAATTTGTTATAAAACAATGAAAATTTTATGAAAAAACTACAGAGAATTACAGGGAGCAGTTAATTATACTATATTAAAAGAAAATATGAACAGAAAAGATCAATTTTCAACAAAGTTAGAGAAAAATTTATGTTTTATTCACGAATTTACAACTATAATAGGATAAAAACACGAAATTTAATTATTTCTCGGCAAATATTTACGAAGAAAACTACTGGGATAAATGGGGGCTAATTGATTACACTATTAAGAGAAAATTTCAGCGAAAAAGACCAATTTTCAGGAAAGTTATTAACGAATTAGTAGTTGGTTAGGTTAGGTTAGGTTAGGTTAGGTTAGGTTAGGTTCCCCCCCGAACGGGTTCCCGCCTTGTCGTGGCGGGGGGGCTTAGTAGCCGTGGCTTGGTCAACCACGGTGAACGAAGAGGAACCCCTTGGCTGGCCCGAGGTGTAGGGCCGGCCCGAGGTGGCCACTCCGAGTGGGCTTGGGAAGCCCACTTCGGATGTGTGTCGGGGGGCTGTGGTGAGAGGGGAGTCCGCAACCCTCTACCGCTGCAGCCGAGGTGGAGTCGCGGAGGAAGAGGAGTGTTGGTATGGCGATGCGCCACTCGCCCTATCCTCCGCGACTCAGACGGGGCCGCACCGTTGAATGATGCGGTGGTGGTGGGGCTGCGGGGGGAGAGGAGTGTCGGTATTGCGAGGCGCCGCTCTCCCTACCCTCCGCAGCCGAATCTTGGTTGGCGGCGGAGCCATAGACCAGATCCGCCGCTGGGGTCGGGAAGGCTGGTGCTTCTTAGTGCTAGTTTTTCCTGGCCCCATGGCCTTCGCGCATCGGACACGGGGGCGTCTGTTGCGCATATGAAATTGGAGGCCGAGGAGGAGGGCGCGCCATGTGTTCTGGTGCGCCTTACCGGAGAAGGAGATGGGGGAGGAGTGGTCCTCTCCCGAGGAGGGGCCGCCATGGGGTGGCCGGCGCAGGTGGGGCCGCGGAAGTGTGCGAAAGCGTTCCCGTGGCCCTGCCAATATGCGACGAGGGTGGAACACCATGGGGTTTTAGTCGGTGCAAGTCCGACATAACCCGTCCTTGCCCCCGCGAGGCGGGTATGCGTAGGCATTTCCCCATGTAAAAAAAAAAAAAAAAAAAAAGGTTAGGTTAGGTTAGGTTAGGTTAGGTTAGGTTAGGTTAGGTTAGGTTAGGTTAGGTTAGGTTAGGTTAGGTTAGGTTAGGTTAGGTTAGGTTAGGTTAGGTTAGGTTAGGTTAGGTTAGGTTTTTTTTTTTTTTTTTTTTTTTTTTAATGTTTCGCTTATTACAATTGATACTCTTAGATAACATAGAATATTGACGCTTCGTTGTATCATATGTTGCACCGAGGAAGAGGTAGCACCTTGCTGCGATTGGATACTGCGTGGTGTGTACCCCTTCCTTCACATTTTGTCACATTAATGTACATATACGTTAGTTCTTTAACATTATTGATGTGTTTATATACAATCATTAAAAATTGGTTTCTTAATTACTAATGTACTTATATGCTAAATTATGTGTTACTATGTCTGACATGTTTGCTTATTTATTTACATTGGTTGTCTAATTTTTTCCCCATGAGTCTGCTTGCCGTCTAGTTGTGCATTAGTTATACATATAATGTATAAGCAAAGCTATTGTCTATATTATGACATAAGTGTTACAAAAATATGAATGAAATATCTTAATTAAACTAATTACATTATGACATAAGTGTTACAAAAATATGAATGAAATATCATAATTAAGCTAATTACATTATGACATAAGTGTTACAAAAATATGAATGAAATATCTTAATTAAACTAATTACAAAGAATGAAAGAAAAGGATATTATGTATGAAAAAAAAAAAAAAAAGGACAAAGACAAAGGGTGTGAAGAATATACACTATTTATCCACTAGTTGTCCACTAGTTGACAACCCGTACACCGGTTGTCCACAAGTTGTCCACTAGTTGACAACCCGTACACTAGCTGTCCACTAGTTGTCCACTGGTTGACAACCCGTACACAAGTTGTCCACTGGTTGTCCACATGTTGTCCACCGGTTGTCAACCCGTACACTGGCTTTCCACTAGTTGTCCACTAGTTGACCAGTGTCAACTTGATGTACTCTTGTCCCTAGCGAAGAGGTTACTGCCGGTCACTACAGCACGTGATGTCTTCCATTCGCTGTCCAAACTTGTTATTTGAAGCCGTAGTCGATTCGAAGTGCAATTCTATCTTTCATGGCCCGCAGCCTAGGACATTTGTCCGAATTTGCAGTGTGTTTATCATCCAGTTTTGTTTCAAATTTGATATTATGTGTTGAGCAATTATAACACTTAGCGCTTTGTGCGTCGTCTTTAGTTGGGCACTTATCGTATTGATGATCAGATGAGGCGCAGTGCGAGCACGGATTTGACGCAGATGTACATTTGGTCTTGGTATGACCAAATTGAAGGCATTTGAAGCACTGTATGAAAGGGGAGAAGCTGCTAACATATATGCGCTGGTGATCTATACATACTCGCTCCATTTGCATAAGTTTATGGTAAATTTTTGCCTCTGCCAGGAAAATTGCATTGTACAAGTTGCCATTGCGGTTATCCCGCTTGAACCTCAGTCGGAAGTTATCGCTGCTTTGGTTGTCACCTTGGATAAGTTGTGAAAGTTCGGGATTTTGTGTGCTAATAATTTTGATTAGTTCGTCCGCAGGGACGTCCTTGGATATTCCTTTAAAAATAACCATTGGTTTCAGCATTCGTACGGGTTCGGCCTTTACCTTATCTGTTTTCCCCAGCCTAGACAGAGTATCATCCCTCTGTTCTATGTTATCAAATTCTATACGCAGCTTGTTGTTAGAGACGGGTTGTATTTTCACTGGAGCATAGTTTGAATCTCTGTAGCTAATACTGTGTCTAAATAGTTCGACAGCCTCCTGGCGTGTCTTGACCTCTGATGCTGGGGTTACAATAATCGCTGGTTTAGTTGTAGGCGCTACAGAGCTAGGAGTGGGTGTTTTTGCTGAGGAGGGGGCTCCGGAGACTGTCGCTGCAGCCTGAGCATATGTAGGCTTTATCACAGAGTTGGTGACAAATTTTTTGAGACCAGCTATTTCTTCGCGGACGCAAGTAGCTATTTCCTTCTTTAAATCTTCTTTAGTTAGGGTAGCAGTGTTACCATCCTTTGCAGTATTTGCGTTTTTTTGCATTAAGTCGCAATGCACACCAGTGGTAGTATTGATTTCATCAAGGAGACAATAAATTTT